TAAAAAGAAAAGAAAAAAAAAACTCATGAAACTAAATATCATTTCATGTTATACCTTTTCACACTTCTTGAATAAACATTATCTTATAAATGAAGCTAGACCACAAGTTAATAAATTTATACATATTTATTTGCTATCAAGTTAAAATAATTATTTCTTCATAAATTATGTTGTAATTGATAATAATTAAGAAGAAGCTTAATTTGATCTCCCTCCCCATCCCTACTACAAATTTCTCTCTAGCACTTCTCCCACCTTCATCCATCATACTGTGTTCAACACTGTGAATGTCTGAAACATTTATATAAAACTCTGAGTGGTATTCCAGAAGAGTTGTATAAAACTCTGCACTGTCATTTGCTCAGCCTAACAATTTCCTAACACAATGAGTTATTGATCTTTCTTTTTTTTGTTTCACCCCAATTTGAAAAGCATCTGTTATGATTGAAATCAATATAAAGTGAATATCTAAATTACTTTTCATAAAACAAAGACAAAGGGATAGCAGTTGTCGAATTTTCTAAGGCCATTAGTAATTTTAGAATTTTTAAATATGACTTTTACGTGTATTTCAGGTTTGTATTCCTCTTTCAATAACAAATGTAGGAATCATGCTAAATATGTTTAAAAATAGTTCACATTAAAACAGTGTTTTTGTAGGCCTAGATGGACAAATGACAAAATTGGGCTTAAAGAGGATGGTCCATGGGTGATCAATTCAGGGAGAAAAAAAGTTTTTGCCACAAATACTTTTATAATTTCAATTAAAATCTTTTCAGTAAATTGTTTTACAGATATCTCTTTTTAACAACAAAACAAAGCAAAAGCATCTTTTTACATTTACATAAAAATTCTTCATAAATCTTTATATAAGTGCAGCCAGTTGGCAGCATAAATACATTTTATCCTAAGCTTACATCATTTCAGGATTCTTTTGGAAATTATCATCCTTGAAACCTTGATATTCAGAACATTGTCTTTAGATTAAATACTTTTAAAATATATACCAAATATTCTTGTTAACCACTTATACCACCAAATAAAGAAAACCTGCCTAGCATTATACAAATATTTTGAATGTGATATAGGCAAGAACACTTTGAAATAATGCTTAACTAATCACAAAGTGATGATTCTGTAATAGATTGCCACTTATTAGACAAAAGTAAATAAAACTGTCATGATAAGATAAAAGAATAAAGAGAAGTAAGCAGTGATTACTCTTTTATTATTAGAGAAAGTAATATCCAACACAGGCCAATAAAAAGAGGAGGGAAAGCCCACAACAAATAAACAAAGGGCCTGGTCGAGTCAGTACTATAAGGTAGAAACAATTCAGGGATAACAGTGACACCTAAACGTCCATCGAAGAACAGAACAATGGGCTGCACAGAGAGGGCAAGGGTTCTTTAGGTTCAGGGTATGCAACATACTGAAGAATAATATTACATGGATACTGGCTGAAAAATAACCAAGCTATTCTCAAAACAACTCTTTATTAAGGACTGAGTTAGGACTCTTAAGTGAGAATATTCTTTTCAAATCATTGGTGGCCTTAATTTGGTCACTTAATATGGAAGTGGTCCCAGAAAGTACAATCAGTTGTGTCTGAAGCTTTAATGTTTAGAGCAACTTACATTCTATGGACACAGAGAAGCCCAGGAAAATGTCATGCAAATATGGAGAAAGAAGATGGCAATCGACATGATAAAGGGTAGGCATCAAAAGAAATCATTCCAGCAATTACCTTGATATACAAATTCTAGAATTAGGACAAATAAATGTCTGTGTAACCCCATCTATGCATTGTCTTACAACAGCCCTGTGAAACTAATGCAGCCCATTTGGAAACACATACACTTTCTCTGCCTCTTGGCTGAATGAATGTACAATTGGATCCCATCACCTTCCAACAGCTTTGAAAAACTGACCTGCTGCAAGAAAAGACATTTATTACTAGAATATTCTTAAGGTATGCAAAAACAGAGCTTCTTACCTGATGGGGATATAGAGATTTGTGGTATGGCACAATAATAAAATACATATACTATTTTACCTCCTTTGTTTGTGTAACTCTCACTTCTTTTTGTGTCAAAACTTTTCTGGTGAGGATGTTTGTATATAAGTTCTGTAAATGGACTAGAAGGCCATTGGAGTTTACTGGTACATGGGCTACCTGGGGCAGGTAGTTAAAACAAAAACAGTAAAATCACATAAGAAATATCCAGTGCCCAACAAACACTGACAATGATGTGAAAATGACTTTTCTGTTATTTCTCCACGTATGTAATCTGAAGATATACACCTGTTATGTTATCAGGGTAATAATAGAGTCCAGATTATTTTTGAATGGGCATGTATGTCATTCAAGTGGTAAACTTCTCAGAGTTCAGGGGATTCCCCATCTTGAGTATTTGTTCTGGCATATTCTGGCCATCTCCAGTTTTGTCCTGTGGAGACAATTCTACAGAAGGCTCAGCTAACTTCAGACCAAGATATCATCATGGGTTTTGTGATGCACTTGCTGTTTCCACAGGAGACAGAACTAAAAAGTAGCTTTTTCGGTGGTCTACAATACGCTCTGCAACAGTTTATCTTACAAGGAAAACAATTAACACTAACCATCATGGCTGTTTTAACAGGTGACACTCCCACTGAAAATTTTTATACACAGATTAGAAATAGATGAATGTATGCATAGGCCTTCATACATTGGATTACAAAATCAGGTCTTTGGATAATTATTTCAGTAGAAAAACTAGAATCCAATACTTAAATATCCACTCTACCACCCATGTCCTGATATAGCAAAATTCTGCCATTGCAGGTGCCCCAAAATTATTGCCCTCGCCCAAACACACAGAGAGAAGGGGAAGGTCTAAAGACTTTTCAGATATAATCCCAGATGAGGACTTGCCTAGATTTTTCTTCTCTGGACTGTTCCCTTTTACCTGTAAATACCTTCTGATAAGTAGTCATAGGTCCTGGTGTGAAGGCTAAGACAACATGTAAATGTGCTCTGGACATTTTTGTGCCTAAAATCCTGGAAGGTTTGCATACATCATGGAAACATATTTTTAGCTTGTGCATCTCCATTTAAATGAGCTGAATAATGCAACCTCTCTGGAATGTGTATGCCTGGTTACTAGAGTTATAAGTTCTCTTTGGTTCTAATGCTGAGAAATTGAGGTTGATTCTTCTAAGTTTCATTACCTTTGTCACTTCCTTTAATAAGACTACCACAATATATTCTTTAGAGTGCTGAATTTTCATCTTTTTATCTGTGTAAAAATACACAAACGGATGTGGCCTTTTAGTCTCTTGGGAAGATGTCAATCCATCTTGTAAAAGAACTTGAAGGTGAGTGGAGTTGACTGATACATGGGCTACCTGCGGCAGGTAGCTCAAACAAAAACAGTAGCAACAGGAAAAAAAAAATCAGTCCACAATAAACACTGACAATTACATGTGCACACTTTGGTGAAGGCTTCCAGTAGGCTCGGCAGGTACTCTGAAGTAGAGTTGGACCTGGATGGCAATATTAGAGCCTGATTTTTCTCTAATTGAGTTTAATCTGGAGGCAAAATAAGAAGATCAGCACAGAAGAGACATCAGAGAGCACAGACACCTATAAACCCCCACTGTCCCTGGACTGCCTTGCTCACTGGTGAGCCATTTTTTGAGAGAAATACTTGTGGTGGCCACTTGATGGCAGCTTTGCACAGACCAATTCAAACCTGGGCATTCTCTCTGGCTCCCACCACTCTCCTGGATCCTGGGACCTGGGTGCTCACATGCCTTCCTACAAAAGTCAAAAAGGCACTGTCCAGGGGTGCATCCATATTTGCAGCTGGACACTCTGCATTTTACAAAGAAAAAGAAACAAAATTACTAACTGTTCACCTCTGCCTGCTTGTTTTGATGCAAACAGAGCAGATCTGATTCAAAAGAGAGCTCTGGGGCTGGGGATATGGCTCAAGCGGTAGCAAGCTTGCCTGGTATGCCTGAGGCCCAGGTTCGATCCTCAGCACCCCATACAAAGAAAGATGTTGTATCCACCGAAAAAACCTAAAAATAATAATAAGAATAATAATGAATAAATATTATTTTTTTTTCTCTCTCTCTTTAAAAAAATAAATAGAGCTCTGTATCTTGCTCTCAAAATATTAGGGGACAAAAAAATCACATAATATAGACAAGACTTATTGTTAAGGGAGGGTGAACAGTCTCTCTCTTCAAGGATAAAATTAATATTTGGTTTCATTGTGAATCCAGGAAAATTAATTCCAGATTTTTCAATTATATAAATAACTCCATATATGTGCCAATAAATAAATATATAACCAGGCACTCTGCTCCTCTCTGCCCTAGTTAAACATGGGGTGCCTTGAGATTACCTGCTCCCTTGGATCCCTTCACCTGCATATCAATGCAGTAGGGGTGCAGTCCCTTCCACTACTCTTTACAGCATCCTGAACTCCTACCTATTTTTTTAGGCCTGAACACCTTTTGAAGACTCCACTTGGGGAGAGATTCATAAAATTCTGGAATGAACCTAAAGGCATTTCATTATCAGGCTATCATGCTATCAATTTGGTTCTATGTTCCTATTCACTATTTTTTAATTTATTTTATTTTAGTTGTTCTTAATTATACATGACATATAATTCCATTTTGCTAAAATTATACATGCATAGATATTCCTATTTATGATTCATAATTATTTGGGGCTGGGGCTGGGGCTGTAGCTCATTGGTAAAGTGCTTGCCTCACACATGTAAAAAACTGGATTTGATCCTCAGCACCAAAAAAAATAAATAAGTAAATAAATAAAATAAATAAAGATATTGTGTCCATTTCAAAGATAATTCATAATTATTCTAATTATGAATTTCATTATAATGGGTCGACATCATTGTGGAATTTATTTATATTTTTTCTTTTTTTTAAATTTTATGTTCTGTATTGTGTAAACTTATTTTGAAAAGATTACCATTTAGGTGCTTCATATTTACAACTTGACAGAACACTGACACTTGTAAAGGGATGGATTACAGGTAACAGGAAAGGGAAAGATGATAGATTAGTTTTGTATTGAAACATCTTGAGAAATGTCTTAGTGAACTCTACTTCCAATAAACAGCTCAGTCACATACAAAACAACATCAACAAAGCAAAACTAGATTATACAAAAATGCAGAAAAAAACTATGATCATATATACAATTTATAATCCAACTTTTTCACTTTAAATATTTGCACAATAAAAAAATACAAATAGTCTGTTTTAAATGTACGTTAAGAGAAATAAACTCTTCCATGAAAATCAACATAATACAAAAATGCATCTAAAGGACCACATAATCTGTACAAGACATTATTAATGGAGAATATTAAGGGAATTCAGCTGCCAAAGTATTCACAGTCTCTTTTGGAATGTCAAGATGAATTCCTTCAAAATAGTGCAGAAACCTTCTTTTACTTTTTCCTTGTTCTTTCAGCTTCTCAATCCTACAGATGTTGCGGAGAACTGGCAGGTATTCAATTACACTAGCTTGTCTATTACCCAGGTTCAGAAGAGATCGACTAGAAAACACACTTTTAATGACTGATATCCTCTTCCAAGCACTGTCTAAATCAGTTGCTGACTGACTAAAGCATACATTATTGTGCTTTTGTGAAACACTAAAAGTAAGATCCTTGGTTGGATCTCTTCCTAATTTCTTGCAAGAATTCAAGGAGGATTCCAATGCTTTTGAAATAGTAGAAGAACATTTAGTAAAGGTAAGAGCTTCTGCAGTTGCCTTTAGTTCTCTAGAGCTTTGAGAAGTCCATCCATCATTACTCTCAAGACTAAACTCATCACAAAGTCCACTTTTAACCATTCCATCTGTCCAACGAAAGTCATTTTTCCCAAGTTCCTTCTGTTCCTTTATATCAGTTAAAAGGGCATCCAGGAAGGACATGTTATCCATAAACTCAGTGAGAGAATTTAAACAATGAGAGACAAGGACAGAACTTTTTTTCCCCGCTGGTGTTTTAGGAGGATGAGGAATAGATTCAATGCTAGACTCTAAACTATTGTTCAGGTTCTTTGTCCCTGAACTGCTGTCTCTGGTCTTGTTTTCTTCTAAATTTGAGGAAGATGCAGGTGATAGGTTAATAAATTCAGAAAAGTCCAAGTCATTGTCAAATAAATCACTATCATCTAGTGTCACTATCTTTTTCTTATGTTTCTTTTTCTGTGACTTATTCAATGGCCGCTCTCCTTCAGTACATTTCCTAGCAAGACACTTCATGCTCATTGCTGCACTGGCATCCACATTTATTGATAAGCCACAAATGGTTTTTGATTCTGGAATGATATCAACTGGTAATGGTAGAATAAACTCAAGATTGCTATATAAAAAATCTACATCCTGCATGTGGAATTCTGTAAGAAGCTGGATGAGTTTATGCCATTCTTCCTTTGTAGTGATTTTGTGCTTTAAAAATGAAAATAAGTCTTCAGATGGGGAAAAAATGTTCTTGAGTCCAAACAAGGTCTCAACACAGCCAGTGTCACATTTGGGAAGGTCCACATGATTGCTTTTGGTATTTCTAGTGTTATTTTTGGAAGCAGGGCCATCTTCAGAGCAAGGTAGTTGTTCATTTCTGCTACTTCCTCGACAATGAGATAATGGCCTTTCTTCTAAAAATCCACCTCCACTTCTAATCCAAAATTGTAGGTAAAGGATACTTTTTCTGATATCACAGCCATTTGCAGTTAACAAGGTTACAAAGTCTTTTACATCAGTTCTGAAATTTTCAGTTAAACATATCATTTGTAGGTAGGTGGCAACATTTAGCAGAGAAGGAGTACGGAAATTGATTTCTTCAAAGCAGCCATCAAACAGTAAACTAAATGTTGGATCACTTGTAGTAAGGATTACAGGTCATTTCATTGTTGCCATGAATGTTTTGATTGCATTCAAAAAACCAGAATCTTCATCAAAAACGACATCAACCTCCTCAAAAAGAATAAGAGATATTGCATTTTTCCTGTTGGGTTCTTCAGCTCCAAATTCTTTGACGTTTGAATTATGTACACTTGCAGATTTAGTCTGAGTAATTTGCTTCTGTTCCAAAGAATTTTTAATTCCTTTATTACTTTCCAGAAGTTCTCCTATTTCTTCATTATTTTTGGACTTGGAAGATACTTTAAAGTAATTTGCCAAAGTTTTAGGGGTAATTCCTCGCTTCTGCCCATTACTTTTTGGTGATGATGGAGGAAGTTTCCTTGGTGAAGTAACAACTTTCTTAGGAGAGTTTAATTTTTCTGGTGACTTGCCTATGTTGTAGCTATTAAAAAAGCAGGGTTTTTGTGAGTTTACACCTTGCTTGTCTACTTGATGGGACTGAGTAGCTTCCTTCAGCTGAGACAGAATCTGTCTACCACTGCGCTGGGAAGAGGCATTTACTTCAAATATCTTGAATCCAAGCTCCTGAGCACAAGCATACACTGCAGCAGTTTTTCCCACTCCTGTTGGCCCTGTTATAAGAACAGTATTGCAAAGACAACTCTCTTCCTCATCATCTGAACTGCCTTTAAAGTCTTTGCTATCTGACAAATCTTCCTGTTTCTCCTCTCTTTTTCCCTTCAAATTCTGTCTTTCTTCCAGTTCAGCTCTTCTCTTCCAGTCTTTCAACCAACTATGTAACTTTTTTATAGCTAACTCATTGCCTATGAGTTCACTGGCATTTTGAGGTTGATACTTTTCTGTCCAAAGCATGTCTTCAGTTCCAGAATCAGAAATGGAAGATATTTCTGCTGGAAACTCTCTGTCACCATCTATGATCAGAATATCATTATCTTCTACTGCTCCTGTTTTCACTTTACGTGGTGTACTCAAAGCAGTTTGTTTCTTCCGAGACATTTTAGAAAATATACCTTTGGAAGAACCTAGCTTTTTCTCAAAAGAGTTGTTTCTTTTGTCAAGTTCTTCTGGCTTCCCATTTATCTTTACTGGACTTACTGAATATTCATTTGGTTTCTTTCTTTTTGACTTCTGATTTTCTATTTCCACTCGTTTCCTTTTGCTTTCTTTTTGATTGTTATCAAGCTCTACTTGTGGATTTTCTTGTTTACCATGATACTCAGAAAGTGCCTGGTGCTCAATTTGTTTTTTTAGAAGCAAGGGAAAATATTTTCCCACAGAAAATTCAGGATTTGACCACCTAATTTCTTCTAGCAAAAGATTTCTTACTTCTTTAGTAAAATTCTTCCTTGTCCTTATAAGCATGACAGCAGAATTACTTTTTGAATTTGAATTCAATGTTGAAAATTCACCAAGAGCAATAACACATTTTGAGAGATCTATTACTTTAGTATTAGACTCCTTAAATGTAGTTAACAGAGGACAAGAAGGTAGTTTCAAATTCCATAACCAACACCCATCATCTTTTTGTTGTATATGAACAATTTTCTGGAAACTGGTACTCAATGAATTGTACACATCCAGAACAGCAGCTTTCTTTGCAATTTGTCATTTCAACAAATCTGGCAAACCACTCATTAGAAAATCACGCTTTGCTTTAAATTGTACATCACAGTCCTGAGATTTCTCAGATGTATCTTGACTGCTCTCTTCCAAACCAACGTCAGGATCAGCTGTTTTGGGAACCTTTCTGGCAATAAATAAAGGGGCAACTTTCATTTTTCCAGGTACATTTTTAGGAGACTTGTCAAGCTTTTTTCCTAGCACATCGTTCAAACACTGAAGTTTCTTCTGATTTTTCTCTGATGTCTTTAAAGAAGTAGGACTTGAATCTATTATTATAACATCTTCTGTTTTTGGTGGTTTCTCTCCTTCAGGAAGCCTCTGATGTCTAGAGGAACGCCTTAAAGGTATCACTGTTTCTTCAGTAGCCTTTGACCTACAGATGTGTAAAGCTTTTGCTTTTTCGATCAATTGTTTTGCTTTTGATATATTTTTTTGAGTTTTGCTTGCCTTTCTATTTTGAGAAGTAAAATCTCTACCAGTTGCCTCTGATTTCTTAGACTTTTTATTATATTTTTTCTTAGTTTTTTTGGGAGTACTAATTCTGGTAAATTTCATTCTAATAGGGCTCTCTGAATCAGAGGGTACTGTTAGTAATTCTGCTGTGTATAGGCTATGCTTTTCTGATACACTGGCTGTTTTGGGAGTAGAAAACTTGTACTCGACTATTGTCTTGTACATCTTCATAATCAGGACCTCTAATGGTAGTAGGTGTGCTGCTATTTCTTATAGATCGTCTGGATGATTTAGGTGTGGAAACATTTACCAATCTGTCTTCAGGTTCAGCCTTAGGATATATAATCTTTTCTTTAATTGATGTGCTGGTTTTCCTTGATGATTTATTCTTGTCACACAGAGAAGAAATCATTAGAGGGTCACCATTTGCTATACCTTCACAAACAAGATTTTCACTGTTAAGTAATGTAGTGCTTTTGAAAATTTCTGATTTCTTGTGTCTCAAACTCATTCTAAGTCTATTCTGATTTTGTTTACTTCTTAAGGAAAGAATTGTTTCTTTCTTTTGATTATTTTCTTTTTGGTTTTCACCTGTAGTAGCCCCAGTATCTAATGTTTCCTTATTCTTTTTCTTTAGCATTTTACTTTTCTCCGTAGGAAAACTTCTTCTATCAGCGTGTGACTGTGAACTACCATTTGAAACCATTTGAATATTAAGATTTTCCATGATTTTCTTAGAATTATTATCTCGTCCTTCTTCATTTAAATATTTTTCATTGAGGTCTTTCTGCTTATCTGAAGACTTTTTGACACCATTTTTAATTGCATCTGATGCTGGCTGCCTAAATGCTTTCATAAACTGCTGCCTTTCTTCTAGGGTACACTTTGGTTTCACAGCTTCAGAACTTCCAGCTTCCAACACAGCCAATTCTAATTCTTCCTCCTGTATAACAACATTAGATTTTCTTTTCTGAATTGTCTGTTCATTCTCAGGATCAGAAAGACTATTTTCCATCTCAAATTTCTTTTGTTTCAAGAAAATTGGGGGTATTTTCTTTGTCCTTTTTGGAGGAATGGGGTGAACTTGTGCAAGGACAGTAACTGTCTTAAAGTGCATCAGCTGAGATATCTCACAGTTTTCTGATTCACTTATATAACCACTTGTGCCTATTTCCTCAACAGTTTCAGAAGGTAAACAAATTGACATTGTTGAGTCTGGTATCTGTTCCACTTTATTTTCCTTGTGACTTTTTAAAAATTCTTCATATGAGACAGTTATCGTACAATCATTTAAATGGGCTGTTTCAGTAACATGATCACTAGAGTTTGCATCATTTGTAGTACTCTCAATTTCATTAGTTAGGGAAGATACTATCTCTTTGCTGTCTTATCACTATTTTGAAGCAGATTTAGTTCTTCTGCCAAGGGTAAACTTTCAGATAGATCTATTACATCTCTGTATTTCCTTTTTCCTAACCTTTTACAATCACCTTTTGTCATCCTTTGTTTAGGATTCACTTTCTTAGAATTTTTCTTGAAAGTCATAGCATTTGACTGTCTTTCAACATCATGAATACTTTCTACAAGAACCTCCACATGTCTATTGTAAAGTAAAACAGAAGCACTATTTTCCACAAAATCATTATTTAAACTACAGTCTTCTTTGCTATCATCACTGTTAATTTCAATTGGAGATTCATTCTCAGTTTTTATATTATTTAGCTGTTGAGATAAATTAACCCTCTTTACTTTCTTCTTAAATACTGTATTTGAGAATATGTCCAAAGATTTTTTACAATCTTTGTTATTGTCAACGTGCAATGGTGCAGATGACTTTATCTTACACTCTTTCACTGAGTGTGTCTTCTCATTTGTGGGTGAAGTCTTTCTAAAATAATCCATAATATTACTAGATTTTGGTGGAGAGAAAACTCTGTCTCCAGTCTTCCCTATCGGTGATAAATATTTTGTAATTGTTTTACAGGAAGATCGGTCATCATCTTTTCGTCGCTTCTTGCATGGCCAAGTAAGTTGAGCCAAGGTTATAATGAGCCCAGGTGTGGTTGAAGAAGATCCAGAGAGGCACTAGCTCAATCTCGTAGTCCTTCACTGGAGGGGGAGCAGCTGCAGCCGCCATGGCCAGGACCCCCACCATGCTCCCTGCTTCCCCGAATCCCAGCTCCTAGGACCTTGCGCGGTCTGGCTCAGCCTGCCTGGAGGCAATGGAGCTGGCCGGCTCCGGTAGGAGCGAATTGCTGGGCCGCCAAGTCAGTCTCAGGGTCCCACCGCGCCCACCGCCCAAAACGGGCGCGGAGACTGGGCCCAGCTCCGTCGAGTCAAACGCGGAAAAAGGCGGTGAGAAAGCGCGGGCAGCGAGGGCCCTGGGACGCGGCCGGCAGTGCAGGGTGTCTCAGAGGCGGCAGTTCCAGGCTGAGCGCCCAGGACTTGAGCCTGGGTGCCTACAGCCAACAGAACACAAATCGGGCCGCTGGGCTTCGGGGGGAGTTCTTGTCAATTGGGTTTTCGCGCCGTCCTGAGCCTATATATTTTCATATGCATACAATCTAACTTATTTTAGATTCATTCTACTGTCTTTCCTATTACTATCTATTCTACCTTTCTTGAATACTTCTTTGGATAATCTACTGAACTACTTTTTCCCTTCCTCATTTATTGTGGTTTAGCCTCGACATCCGCAAAAACATTTCACTTACAGTTTTTTGTGATTCGCTTGTTTCACTTAGCATGACAGTCCCCATATCCATTTATTTACTGACAAATGTCATAGAGTCATTCTTCTTTATGGCTGAGTAATATTTTATTGTCTATATATATTAAAAAAATCTCTATTCATTTATCTGATAATGAACATCTAGCTTGTTCCCATACCTTAGCTGTTGTGTATTGTGTTGCTATAAACATTGATTTGGCTGTGTCACTGTAGCATGGTGCTATTAAGTCCTTTGTATATATGCCGAAGAATGTGATAATTGGTTCAAAAGGAGTTTTAAATCCTAGTTGTTTTTTTTTTGAAACTTCATACTCCATTCCAGAGAGGTTGCACAAATTTTCAGTCTCACCATAATTTTTGAGTGTTTCCTTTTTTCCACATCCTCACAAAAATTTGCTTTTACTTATATTCTTGATAATTGGCATTATAATTGGAATGAGATGGTATCTCAGTGTAGATTTTACTTGCATTTCTCTAATTGCTAGAGATGTTGCCTTCTCAGTGTTTTTGAATTTTGCTTCTCAGTAACAACATCCATGGTATTTTGGGAACCAGTTTTGCTTTATTTATGAATTGGGGACAATATTTCACTTGAAAGATTGACTGGAAAGCTTAAGGCACATGACCATGAGTCCAGGGATGACTTTTACACAGTTGTCTTGCCCATGATTATGAGAAAAAAATTGATATGGTGTGAGAAGAGGGAAGGGAGAAGGGAGCAATTAAAATGAAACATATTGGGGCCCAAACCCATACTTTTCTCAATGAAGTGCAGGTGAATGGAAACCAGGCCTGGTTCTTGATCTTGGGGAGAGGGATGGGCCATTTCCCCAAAAACCAGTTTCTTAGCTAAGCCAAGCTGAGACTGGTACCAATGTGCCCAAGATCCTCCCAGCTATGGTGTGCCATGTGTGTCTGAGAGTCACAACTTGAGATAAGTATCCTTTTGAATTTTCAAAATTAAATTAATGCAGCCACCCCTCTTGGGCACGTTGGTCCAGGAGCTGAGTTTAATGCTGGCACAGACTCTCGGTCATGGCAGATGTGGCCCACATTCCCCTAGTATTTTCTGGGCAGTACAGGTAGCAGCCCCAATAAGGAAGGGGACCACAGCTCTAGTTTTATTTAAGTGTTAACAAGCAGCATGTCAAAATATGGCCTTACACAGTGCTGATGAAGGAACTCCCCATGGGATCCTGATGAAAAAGGTGGCCAGCAAAGAGAGAGACAGAGAAACAGACATAGAGAACTGTGGCCATGGCACTTGGCAGGACTAGTGACCTTGAGTTTGCTTACAATACAGAAGAAGGAGCAAAATGTAAAGAGTTAACCTGTGAATAGTCACCCTGAATTGTAAACCTCCTGAGGTCAGGGTCAGGTCTCAACCCCCAAGTAACACTGACACATTCATTCTCATATGAATGTCCATTTCACACCTTAAAATTTAGAAAAATACTCCTCAAAACCACATGCACTCTGCAAAACACAGTGCCATTCTTCTTGGTGTGGCTCCTCCTATGAAACAGAACAGGTTTGACACATCTGGATGATCTTTCTAGCATGATTTCTTAGGGACAGCTATGTAGGGTATGAAGGCCAAAGTTGGGTGTTGCAAGCCACTCTGAGGTGAGTGGAAAGAGGGATTATACTTGAGTTATATATTTATATATTTTTTTACCCTGGCCCAGAAGTTTACTAGGATCACTATAGTTGTATATGGGTTGAATTATTTTACTCCATAAATGCAGCATCAATTAGCACAGTAGTAATCTGATCACACATGCAATTAAATATTTCTTTTTTTTTAAACATATGAACATTATCTGAATTAAAGCATCCATATTTTTGAACCATTATTCTTAGGTCTGCATAAGAGCTTGTATAATAGTTGCACCATAGTTGCTCAGCCATATTTCTATCTTGCATAACTGGTTTCCTCACAGTTTTTAGCTATTCTAAAAATAACCTGTAAAATATAAACATATTACCCAAAAATGATTAAATAACAAGTGAGTTTAGAGGAAGTATTCTTGGTTGGGGAATTATTTCTGTTCTCTCTCATCCATTTTCAACAAGAACACACTTTCTTGGAATTCTAGGTTTTGGGGAGAAGCTCTGTCCTTAAATTTTTTGGACCTCTGCTCCTTTGACTCTTTATGTCTCTCACACCTACTCAGCTTTCTCTCTGGTGTAGTTGTACTGAGTCTGAGCAGGTGGGATGCATCAATCCCCCAAATGTAAAGCCTACTAATACTGAGAGAGGAGCCAGAGGAGGCCAAACTGAAGTCCAGTTTTGAAACATGGCTAAGCAGAAAAGAGCTGAGTGCCCAACTGTGAGAGAAAATGGCTCAGGCAAAACCTGTCTCTTTGAAGAAAAAAAATAACTTCATATTTTTTTCTGAGACTTAAGAAATGTACTTTATGTGCAGCTTTTGGTTTAAGCAGTCACATGAAGCTTTCTTAATCCACAGGATAAAAAATCTTGGAGTATTTAGTATGAGGGCAAAGAGTGGTGGACTGACTTCCTGTTCTGCACAGTGACTGGTATTTGCTCCCTACTCTCAAAGACCCTTCTTGCTTTGGGGGTGGGTGGCCTCTGTGTCTTCTCATGGAAATTGGTCTGAGACAGATATTTGAGCAGCAGGTATGCAGAAGGAAAGTGGAAAAAGATGTGCACAGCCTAGCACTGCCTGGTTTCCTGGGTACACTGCACAAACCTGGTGTCTTCTTCCCAGGACACTTAAAGCAATAATCACAGAAAAGGTAAAATGGGAGTTATAATATGATTCAATGTTCAGGCAAAAAGTGCTGGATAAAACCAAGGCCCCTGAATATATTTATACACCTACAAATGTATGAGTTCAGAAATTAGGGGTGCAGTGGCCAGAAGCTAGAGCCTTAGGATGAGGTGTGGAGACTTGGCCACATTTGGGGTAGAACAACCTGGCATTCTGGTTTAGAAGAGCTGCTAATTCCTTAGCCTTGCTCTCAGAGTGCGGGGTTGGGGGGATTGCAGGAATGGAGCATAGGGATCATTTGTGTTCTGGTGTGACCTTGTAGCTCTAATTTTTCAAATTGAGTCTGAAGACCCCACCTCAGTTGTGGGATAATATTGAATGGTGCACAGATGGCTAGCCTTTGATTTAATGTTTCTATGAGATTTTAAAGCTAATTTTCATTTAAGGCAAACATTACTCATCTTGATTCAAAATTGCCACAAACAGTTAAGGTTTTGAGTACATTTCTGTAAGTATAATAGGCAAGTTGACTTAAAATAAATAAGTGAACAAAAAACAATAGTAATGCCAAAATTGCAAAGGTGACATGGAAATAAATATGTGTATAAACCACTATAAGATTTTAGTAGGCAGAAAGCCTCCCAAAATCAGCAACATACTTACCAGAACAGGGTCTTTGTGAAGTTCTTTCAGGGAATCTTTATTCTTCCTGTTTCCCCTCTTCCACCTCTATGTCTATGATAATCTTCTTTTACTTGAGGGAGATTAGCAGTGAGCTGGGATGTCAAGGCTGAATCAGATTCATGTCTACCACTTTCAAGGCTGGTGGCCTTGGACAGGAAATTTAACTCCCTCTGAGTCCTGGTCTCCTCATCTATGAGGTGGGGATGTTCTGAACCCTGAGTGCCTGAACACTGCCATGAACTGACATAGACAGACTTCTCAGCTCTTCAGTATGGTCAATGGCTCCCCTGAAGATCAAAAGGGAGTGTGATGGGTTATCTGTATCCAGTGTCTGTTTTCTCTTCTTCCAGAAGTTTCTTGTTTTTTTCCCTTGTATTCCCCATCTGCATTCCACCCCAAGTTGGGTGAGTCAGACAGGATACCCAGTCCAAGAAGTCATAGCATGAAGCCCCCTGAACAAGAGGCATTTAACATGCCAAGTTGATTTGAGCTGGTCCAGACAGACTATTCCAGAGGCCCACAAATAACTGTAGGAAGTGAGCATGGAAACCTTATTGCCAACTTATGGCTTCAGGGAGGCCAGAAAATGAAATAGCAAGGTTAATGTAGATCTTGAGAACTTTTCAAATGTTTAG